GGCGGTGGTCAACCTTTCTCCAAACTGGTCGGCGGCCATTCGCCACCCCTCGTCAAGCTCATCAACGAGATCACTGTGGAACTTTGTCCACATTGCACGGCACGGTGGTTGCCGGCTATACGGATCTCGAGTGTCTGGAACAAATTCCAGCACTCTTGAGCTTTCACCAGGTCCCCATTCAGGCAGTGTAGGCCTCCTGGGGCTTCAGTTGTGGCCTCCCGGCCTTGGCGGACTTTTTCCGCATACTGCTTGAGCGCTTTCTGTGAGCGACTCATCTCCCGTCCCGTCCGATCCACTAGGTGTTCTCACATACACCTGGGATTTGAGCCGTAGCTCCGGGATCTTGACCTTCCGGCCTTGCATTCTCTCAACTCGCCCTAAGGCTTTGGCCTCCCAGCCTTGATATGGAGATTTCTCACTTTCCATCGGCCGCTCACCTGGCGATGGACTCTTCCGCTTGGAGCGCTGCTTGCCAGCAGCCTTCCAGTCTTCCTCTGGAATGGTTGGCATGGGCAGCTCCGACGGACTGGGGGCCCTCACAGCTGGCACCACCTGTTGGGCGCTTCTCTCTTCTGCCTCCTGGGCCCGCTGCTTTTGCTTCAAGAGGCGGTCACTCAACGCCTTGACCTGGTCTTCAGCGGAGGTTTTGACTTCTTGTGCCTCGCGGCTCTGCTGCTTCGCCTTCTTCATGGCCAGCTCTTTCTCTCGAGCTTCTTTCTTGGCCTTGTTGACGGCGATCTCCAGCGAGGCGATCCTCTCGGCGGTCTCTTCCTCCCGCTTCGCTCTCGCCTTCTGGGCCGCAGCATCCGCCACTTGCTCCAAGAGCTCCATGATACCAGGGGTCTGCAGCAGCGCCGCTATGGCTCCCTGATCTTGCTCTTGCTTCTTCTCCGCCGCCGGTGGGGCACTCGCTTCCCCCATTGGTTCATCTTCCTCTACGGGTGGCGGAGTGGCTGTGGAGGGTCCAGCCGTGTCCTCCCGGACTTTTTCACCTCCTTGCCCATCCCGGGCTTTAACCTCACCAACCGAAGTCGGTGTCCCCTCCCGGGGTGTGTCAACCTCTCCCGACGTGTCGGGGGTGCCCTTGCGGGCAGAACTGTCTGATTCCTCGGCCTCCATGGTGGAGGCCGGGGAGGGAGCCCGTTGCTCCGCGCTTGCGCGTCCGCCCAGGCGGAAGCGTGGTAGCCACCCTCAGGTGGCTCCGAAACCAAATGATACGAAAAGTCTGTGGGTGTGGGGCGCCTGCCCTCTTTGAGCCGCGGACCCGCCTCGCCGGGCACCTAGGTCCTTACGGGGACCTAGGCGGGACCACCCCTCCTACTCCCATACCCTTATAAGTATAAAGGTTACCGTAGGACAAGGAATACAATACGATCTTGGGTAGGGCGTCCCCCACACCTAGGGCCAGTAGTAGGGCGTCCCCCACATCAGGCCAGTGCGCGTAACAGTGTGGCTTTCCAATACTTGGCACGTCTACTAGGTATATGCTCTTTCACCAATCGAGTTCCTCTTGGATTTTGGGCATATCCTTCATGCGGGTCTTGTTGACACTTCAAATATTGTACTGAGCTTGAATCTCTTTCCCATGGATTCTACTGGGAATTGAGCCGCATCTTTCGGGCTGACTCAACCGCCAAATTGCACCTCCCTCTTGATGATCGCTCAGTTCGTTCCACCCCTTTGAAGGGCAAGAGAAGCTTGCCCTGCCCAGCCCCAGGTCTTGACAAAATGAAAAGTCGTGTTTGAGGTCCTATTCACATATCGCGAGAATGGCAACAATACATGCCATGTTGAAGATCTACACAAATGGCTTTTGATATGGTGCATCGAAGTTATTTTCGTCAATTTTTTTGACTCGCATGTTTTGACCTCCGTTTGGGCAGATTTGAATTGGAACATGACTTTTGGAACAGAGGTAGTACTTGCCATCACAGTTAAATGATATATTGGATTGTTTCCAAGTAGCTTCTTTGAGGCGAGGGAAGACGGTTGTACATGGTGTTAATGTGATGGAGATGGATATGGCGGGCATGTTGTTAAGTCCGGTGAAAGGGATATGAAGTGAACAACGGGACCGCGAGTTCAGTATGCTTGGAGTAAGGCTATTTGGTTAATACACGCATGTTATAATCCATCCGGTTACAACTTGTGTTCCATCCTTGGGGGTGCCTACGTGTGTGAGGAGCATGATTCTCGTCCCATTTACCATTGAAAGTGTGCTTCCATTTGATAGGGCTCATTCTAGCCACTTTCTCTCATGAAGGAGTTCTACCAAAAAGCAACAAAAAATGAACAGGACAAGGACACGCTAGTGCACTCGTATTTGGTTTCAATTATGTGATACTCTGATGCACATACGAGTCGGATGTTCTAGTGTGGTTGCCACCCTCTGCGATGGTGAGACAGTGCTGTGGGCCTCCGGGAGGGAGTCTAGAGTATCCTGTTATTGCCACAATCACTGCGCGCATCTTAATTCACTTTTTACGTAGCGAGGCATGAAAGCATTCATGCACGTTTCCGACCATATGCGTGTAGGTTCATAATATTGCGTAGTATTTTATGTAAGTATTTACGTAGATTTCGTGATACTACCATTAATGGTAAACGTGCGTTCTCACGTTTGCCTGCTCATAGCAAACAAACTAACTGAATGACTGCGAACAATATCATGCATGCACCACACTTGCACCCCATTGTGTGACAATGCGACTATGGGGGAAAAACATGTACATGGATAAGTATGTGTAAAACCACATATCTGTAATAAAAGGTGGAGATTCGGTTGCATTTGAGAGTTTACATCAGTGGCGTTGTGAATGGCATGCCGAATTCAATCAGTCGGTGTCTGTGTGCGTCCAGTCAATGGTGCCCCCTCCCACTGTGTATGTGTCTGTGGTGGTCAGGCTCTGTCTTTGTGTTTACGGCACCATTATTACATTTAAAATTTACATGGAAACAAAACTAAACACAGAAACAACTACTTTGACGGATGTGTCTATGTATTTTTACACAGGTTACATGATGGAATCGTAACAAATGATCAGTCCTCCGACCCCTCGAGCACCCACCACAAGGCGTCCACCCCACCCTGAGCAAGGGCAACAACATCGCCGAACAGAAGGTAGTTCTATTCCCATTCTAGCTGGCCCGACAGCCACTCCCCGGGCTTGCATTTACGTATTTCTATGGGGTTTTACAAACAAAAGCGTAAAATTGGTTTTACGTGAAGAGGAATGTAATGTTTCGTGCTTATGCCATAAACACAAGCTTGGCAGCGGTGACTACGCCATCCTTGTCCCACTCATAGGGTTGAGGTTGCCATGTTCTCGCCGCATGCTCGTGCTTGAATTGGAATCACTCGTGCTGAAGAGGATGCAAATAAAATGCGGATACGTAGATACCTAGATCACTAGAACCGCAGCCCACAGGCTGTGGTGGTGAGGAGGGCACTTCGTAGGTGAGCCCCAGGTTGATGTTCGCATTCTGCCACATTCAAGAGCATTTAGGTCATGCACATTGAAACTTTTGAAGAATGTGTGTATGTGCGCATGTTGAATAATATGAGACGGCATATTTTGCAAGCCTGTTGTCCTCATCGATGACAACATCATTTTGCCCCAGTCCTGGAAAGCTTCTATCTGTTGATTCAACACAGATGGCATGCTTTACTTGATGTAATGAAGAGCAACGTTGTGACCATGTCCATGTATCAGCATTTTGCTGGTGTTGGCAATTGGCACTATCTATGCCATAACATCAGAAGCTATCAGCATTAGCGCATAAATGTTAAAAGTTGCACACCGTTGTCAGAGACCTGCCCCAAAAATTGCCACCAGTGCAATAGAATCTTCATTTTCACATGTGAAAGCACAAACACCACAACGGAGCACAGCCTCACCAGTGGTGTGTGTTTGGCACTTCCGCGAGCTGTGAATGATTCAGAGGATCATCGCGGTGGATGTCACCATGACAGGTAGTCAAGCGTACAGTATAACCTCTTGGCAAATGCATTGTCTTGTGTGAAGCCACAATTGTGTTGATTGGTTGCTTGCGCAGTAAGACTCTTGATCTCAATTTAGAGCACAGGGAAACGTTGGCCCTAGACATGTCATATGCGCTGGTTGGCATGATTCAATCAACATAATGTGTTCAAAGAGTGATTCCCAGGCTGCCATTGGAGCGGCAATCAACGAAGTGGAACCTTGCTCAAGCTACGGCCATGTACACGGCGTCCCTGAGGGTGCATTGGAATCACCTTCATGGGTGCTTCAAGCTTGCATGGAGGCTCCATTCTTCGATGATGTGTAGCCATGGGTACCTTGACTGGCCACTTGTTAACAAACTTCGTTGACAAATTTGTTCACCACGTCAACCACAGACGTATCCAATGGGCATGCCAACCACCCCCAAAGCTGATGTGATTGTGCTATTGGATATGCCGTGAGCACACCTGGCAGCTCCTGAACGGTGGTGGAGCTCTGCCCAAAAGGCCACAGCACCGGCGCCAGAAGCATGGCACTCGTGTACCATCTCCCAACTCTAAAGTCGCATTTTCTGCAACGGATTGCAGACCCAATCGCAGAATTGTAGCGTATGGCACCAACCACGAAAACCAATAGAGAAACACTGTGACCGAGTGCAAAACCCCATGTGGGAGAGCATGTCGACAGATTATTGTCTCACTCAAATTGCTTTGAATCCATTTGCCATACAAAGACAAAGCACTACCCATGCGCATGATACGTGATGACGAGGTAAAGGCCAAGCAACGGACTGTCATCCATAAACATCCCATATGTGGCCAGCCAGCTGTGCTTCATGCTAGCGGCAGGCAATGGAAGGTTCCCAGCAGTTCAGGAACACACGCTGATGTTGGAGCTCAGACCTCCATCGCCCTGCCGGTGAGCTGGCCATACTTCTTTTGAATGGACCGACGAATGCAATGTAATCAATGAATATATCAATAAACTATTGCACATCTCAACACACAATCACGTTGTTCAGTCACTCTCAAGCACGACACTTATGTGCTCTTGTGAGTCTTTGCGCAGCACCTCAACATCCAGTGTGTCTCCTACAGAGCACTTGTCAAGCACCCGATACAAATCTGTTGCCGTCTTTATCTTGGAGCCGTCCATCGAGATAATGATGTCCCCAAGTGACAGCCGGCCAAGCTCATCCCGGGATGTCCCCCGGATGCCTGCTTTGTCAGCAGAACTGCCGTGCTTCGTCTTCAGCACAAGGATGCCTTGGACTCCTAGCTGGTCGATGGAGTGGTCCGTGGCGAAAGATATGCCAAGAAATGGCCGAATGACCTTTCCATACTTTATGATCTGATCCACACTCGACCTCACGATGTCCACCGGAATGGCGAATCCCACACCGCTGTTTGCACCAGATGGGGAGTAGATGGCGGTGTTCATGCCAATGAGCTTCCCTCTGCTGTCAAGAAGGGGCCCCCCTGAGTTGCCCGGGTTGATGGCAGCATCTGTTTGAATGGCGTCCTGGTTCAAGCAGTCAGGGAATGTCAACATCAACGCAAGGAGGCAGCTGAGAGCTCCCTCCTCCCCTCCTCTACGCAGCACTGACGCCCTGGTTCACAGGAGGCAGCTGTGTTCTGCTCCAATGCATGTGCAAGTCAATCAGTTGCAGTGCAGAGCGCAGCTGCGAGCTCGAATGTGATGGTATCTCCTCCATCTGCATTCGTTTCAAAGGCATTCTGTGACTTCTAATATAAATCCCCAGTGCCACAACTGCAAATGCGATGTTTGAGGCTTGCACTTGTGCAAATCCTTTACTTCTGTCACTGATAGTATGTGTTACATCAGACAGGTTTGATGTGGAGCCCCGGTGGCTGCTAGCAAACTGTCCACAGAAGTCCTTGCAATGGATGTGTCCAAAACCAAATCCATATTTGAACTAATGGGAAAAATGCTTTGTTAAAAAGGCATGGATGATCGCGCCAATCCAAGCAACTAAATGTTATGAAAACTGTACTTCTGCTTTCGCCCAGCAAAGGCCCGGATCCTACGATTATAAGTTTCAGGACACAGCAGGCCCTCTCACATATTGTGAGCCTTGGGCTCGCACAACTGAGCAACCACAGGATGGGAATCGATCCATGCCAAAGGCTGCAGAGTTTTATCCCGATGCAGAGCTATTGTTGCACGCTAGTCGGCCCAAGCCCTGCACAGCGAATGGGTACTTAAGCCTTCTTCCAACTAAGCAACGCCCAAGTGTCATGACTTGCTGTGCTTGCTCTTGACAACATGCTCAGTCTTCCAACAATTGCACTGCTTCGAGTGTTTCACCCACCTGTAAGGGCCTGCCCCCAACCCCTGAGCCAATTTCTCTTCCTGTGCCGCTTATGACTCCTGTGGTCAGGGTATGGTCCAGGCCAAAGGGATTGCCAATGGCGTACACTCTTTGCCCCACTTCCAAGTCTGCCGAATTCCCGACAGTCACAGGGCTCACACCAGTCTGTGCAGAACAATTGCAAAATCAGTGCTGGGACACCATTTCGCCCGACTACGCCACTAGCACAGCAATTAAGCGGTACAAATGAGAGTATGTTTGGCCACTGCTTTGTTGCTGGCTATTCATACTGCCGCAGTGATACTGCCAACGATATTTCTCATGCATCGGCCACTACAACGCAGCAAGCAGCAGTGGCCAATGCTAATACTACACTACAACTGAGCCGTCAGGCAGACACAGATGTTCAGATGTTAATTCTTGATGGCACATAGTAGGGAATGCATATGCACACACTGATGTCCTGTCTAGATTGCTTTTAACGGCGGTAGGTGCTTCCTTGCCGCTTCATATAGACAGCCCTAATGGCTGGAACTGAAGATAGGAATCAACAAGGAAAGCAGCTCATGTTCACTAACTTCTGTTAAAAACCTGAGCAAACCTGAGATGGGGACTGTGCAATGATGACAACAAAACAATGCAGCATTGCAACAGTATGAAAGTGGGCGCATCAAAATGCAACAATTTGCTGCACTTCCAGAGAAAGTAACCATCCACACCAGCTGGCATCGAAGACGGTTCCACAGTGTTGAGCTCACCAAGTCTGCATCATTAAGCTTCAGGACCGTGATGTCCTTCTCCCTGTCGATACCAACCACCTTGGCCATGTACTGTTTCCCATTGCTCAACGTCACCTGCCAATCAGGCAGACTCACACAAGATGTTGCAAGCAAAAATGTTGGCAATAAACAATTGAGTACTGATTTCTATTGCCCATTTCAGCAACTTTAGAATCTGTCAACTGACACAGAACAGCACAACCGATCGCCATTGTACGTGAATGCAGTTTCACATACTTTCCCCCAAACAACATCGCCACGTTTGCTCCACTGATTTTCACACTGTTCCCACCTGGACGTCCGATGCATCCTGTATGACATGGTAATTTGTGATCACATGTCCACTGTTGTCCCAAACAAAGCCTGACCCTGCTCCCTGTGGAATCTCCAGTATGTCCAGCGTGAGGGCGTCCTGTCTGCACAGTATCGAACTCACTCATGACCATTGGTTTAAGAATTGAGGACATCAAAGCGAACTATGCTCATTGGGTCACCTGCTGCATTCTGTGCCCTTGCAGCCTGAACTACCAGCTCATCCAGCACCATGTGGTGAGTATGTGATCGTATTAGAATGCCAAAGGTGCCTGAGAATTCCCTTTTCTGTGCAACAGTGCAGCTGGAAAATCAAGACGAGCAGGAAAGGGAGACATTTCTAGTCCTCAACTAGAGGCCTGGGGCGCAGGACATGAGCGGCCAACTGGCACAAAGGACAGGGCTTCGTTTTCCAAGGTGCTCAGGAACTCACACGCTGTGTCTGGCAATGTGCAACATGGAGGAAGGCAATGCACTACCTTTCTATCTTAGGAACCACCCCTTTGCCGTGCAACTAGTCATCACATAACTAGCAAGAGGCTGACAATCCATTCCCAATAAAACACGCATTGTGCAGCATGACTGTTTGCTACCAGATTCAGTTCTCTGGACAGGTGTACCTCATGCCCATATTTGTGACATTGACAACAGCTGGCGTGTTCCTTTTGAATAAGTCCACTGTTCGGCGTTCTTCCCCAGCAAGCATGGCAGCTGGCGCCTCAAACATGGTTGCATTAGTTCCCACATAAGGGACCACAAACATGCTGAGGGCCACAACAGCAGAAGTAGCTGTGCCACATTGCCTTGCCCAAAAATCACCATCTTGATCGTTGACTGCTCCATCACTGCGACCCACAGCTTGCATTCCAGAAGGCCACCTGACAACAGCACCCCTTTTTATTTGCTGCACGTCCTTTGTTGCTTCTTGTCAGCCAACAGCCTTGGAAAGGTGAAACTGGAGCAAGTGTTGAACAGACTGAATGTCAACACAGGGGAACAAATGTGCACGATATCAATGGGGATATGCTGTTCAGGCACTGCAGAAGAATGTACGGCTTGCTGGGGAGGAAGCTCCCAAGAAAAAAGCGCACAATCCGATGTTGTGGAGCAACAGCACTGGCCGTGGGTGGCTTCGAGCTGGTTCCATTAATTTCAGCCCAAATGATACTACATTTGATGTCCATCCCTGTGTTGAGCCTGTTGCACAAACAATGGAAAGGGCAAAAACGCCCAATGCACTTGGTGATCATCGCATAGGCAGTGATGCAGGCCTACAGACTGTTTTCTGTTAGCTTGTTATATGTAATATTGTCAGGAATCTATTGGGGCGGTGAAGAGCAACTGTTCCCAGAAATTGCAAATTTATGCTGTACTATCCACCGAACGAACTTGCTCAACGATCCCCTTGTAACAGTTGCAGCAGGCTCAAAAGATTTCCATCGCTGCGTCGGCAAAAGGCACCTTCACATCCTGAATTTCCCGCTGCAATGCTCCGCAGCGCCAGCGGAGAGTGCACGTCAAAAGCCCACCTCTGGCCGCCCCTGCCGATCGTGCAGACGTGACTGGTGCCGTGGCGGAGTTGGACGCATCCCGGCGTGCCGAATGCTGCACGCCCTGCCGCACCAAAGCACACTAAATTCACGGCCCCACACAGCGATGCGCTAGGGCTAATACAAGGGCCTTGTTTCCAACCCGATAGAAAACAGGATGCTCCGAAGGCGTCGCTGTGGCCACCATCGACAGCGCCCAGTCACGCAACGGCAGGGGCTCCCACGCGATCCCAAGCACTTGACCATCAGATGACCAGAACCGGATGACGCAAAACTGCGCATTGCGCATGCAGACGCATGTTTGGCTCAATCGCTCTCGGGGTGGCCACCGATTCACTGTCTGTCACGGGGCATGCTGGAAACGCATGCCACGGAAAGGGCCAGAAGGAACTGGGGAGCTGGGTTGGACGGCCGCAGGCTGCAACGATCCCACTGCTGCGACTCACTGTCGTTGGGCGCCCCAATCTGACGCCATAACTCTGGCGCAGAGGCGGGAAGGGCCATGAAAGGGGCAGCCGACAGTCAGCCCAGCAGGTCGAAGAGGCACAGGCGCGTCCGGTCTGCTCCAGGCAACGGTGGCCGGCAGTCCGCGTGCGGGTGGCTTGGGCCCCTGCGTTTGTGGCCAGCCGGCTGAGTTGGGCCCCAAGGCATCCAGTGCATGTCTGCTCTGCACTGTCCCTTCCCCACGTCCACATCCAAGCTAGGGTGAAAACGCGCTGCGCCATGTGTCGCTGCTGAATCAAAGGACTTCGCGTCATTGACACAAAGTTGGAACATTGCAGTGTTTTCGCAACAAGCGTTTCCTCTTTTTAGTAACGTGGCAATTTGGGCTTGTTCGCGACGCCGCATAATGACCACCGTTTCACTGGGTGGATCACTTATGCTTGATGGCTTGCGACTAGTGTGCATGTCAAAACGTGAATCGCTGCTTGAGATTGAAAGAAAAAAAGACTGTGGTTGCAGAAAAATGGTGCTATGAAACTTGCAAAGGTTACTCCCACCAAGATGTTACTTTCCTTGGAGGGGCACACAGGATGTCTCTTTCCCTGGTGCAGCATTGAGCTTCTAGCCCATGCATACTCCTTTGCTTGAAGATTGGCGCATGTTTTATGAAAAGTCGGATTGGCCATTTCTGTGAGTGAATTCTGGTTTTGAATTTGGTTCTTGAGGTAGTTTTCGATCACACTCATGTTTGTTGAGGACAACATGAGCTTGATGAAAGAATGTCCTGCAATTCACATAGAGATGCCTTGGTCATAGTGTCTTGTCCGCAAGATGCAAGGGTGTGTTGTGGGGAAGTTTCGGATGTGTGTTTCCCGAAGCTTTACAGCATTGTGACCGCCTTCTACTTTCACTTTGGCTTGCAAGATTTGTTGTACTTGCACTTTGCAGTGGGGGCGTTTGGAAATGACCATATGCGGCACCTGAGTAGTCAGAATCATGTTGTGTTGAATTCTGAGTGAAAGGGAAGCTGTGGCATGTTTCAGATGTGGGCTGCATCATAGTGAAGAGGTGGCATCGGGGTTGAATTGTCTTATGGGCATTTGTGATTATGACAATCCTTAGAGGTCGAAAATGGGACATTGTATCAGATGATGGAAATTCGCATGAACGTGGCTGATCATTTTAAGCGCACCCCAGCCTGTTGGGGGCGCAGCAACCTGTGCTGTGAACCACGCCTTGGACTCCGCGTCGCCTGACCATGTGAGCGCCGGCGCGTGGGATGGCGACCCCTCCAATCGCCTAGCTATGCCCGCTTCCCTGGCTTACTTCGAAGAGGACAGGCCCATCGTGCTTTGCATGATGGTGCGGTTCCTTTAACATGGTTTCGGAGCCAAGGTGAAGGCATGGGCCTAGCGACGGGGCGGTTCTGTGGCGGCGCCTTCAAGCGGCGTTGACCAAGGTCAACGGTGCTCCCCCCAAGGCTGGCGATGGGGCAGAACTGTCGAGGGGGCGCGCCACCCAGCGATGTCAAGGAGCGCCGCCATCAAGATGGACATCTGTTGAGGGCTGGGTGCTGTCAAGTTTGCCTAGCGTTGAGGCGGCAGCGGCGCCGTTGCGCGAGTTTTGCGCCGGCAGTACGGGGCCGAGGAGTTGGCGCCATGCGCGCCATTTCCGGGGAGTGAGGCACATGACCGCCCGCTCCCGTGAGGGCGACTTTCCGGCGGATTTGGCGACGCGCAGCGCAGCCAGCCACACGCACGTGAGGAGAGAAGACGCGCGAGCACTGCGCAGTGGAAATGGAGGCTGTGCGACGTGGCGGAATGGCAGGTAACGGCACTGTGCGCCATGAGTTCGGGGCGCCGCGGGAGTGGCCGTTCCGCGAGGAATGAGCGGCGCGCGACGCCGCGATCAGCGGGGTTTGCGAGCCGTGAGGGCTGCTGTGGTCTGGGCGCCTCGGAGGAGTCGTGGGGAGTCGGGGGAACGTGTTGGAACCGTCGCGAGGAGCAGGTCGGCAGCGGGTCCCCAGCGCAGGGGGCGCGAAGGGGCTGGAATTGGCACCGGGGGAGCCGGGATTGTCACGTGGGTGTCAAAGTGGAGTGATGAGATGTGACAGCCAGGGAATCGGCCAATGGGTGGCTGCAAAGGGGGCAGGTGCCCCCACTTTTCCCCGTGTGGGCCATGCCATGTTGACATGTTGATTGGACCAGGGGTCCTCCGGCGTGCTGGACCGGGGGTTGGCCCCCTGGCATGTTGGCGTATGCCATGTTGACTGGACCAAGGGTCCCTCGGCGTGATGGACCGGGGGGTGACCCCCTGGCAAGTTGGCGTGTGGTGGCTCGACAGGGAATGCACCCAACCTGTCCAAATGCAAATGATTTATGGGCCCACCAAGTTGTACAGTGGAAAGGATCCAAAAATGGCAAAGATTCGGAGTTTTTCGCAGTTGGAAGCGTGGGAGTGCCCATGTTCGCGACGCCGCATAATGACCACCGTTTCACTGGGTGGATCACTTATGCTTGATGGCTTGCGACTAGTGTGCATGTCAAAACGTGAATCGCTGCTTGAGATTGAAAGAAAAAAAGACTGTGGTTGCAGAAAAATGGTGCTATGAAACTTGCAAAGGTTACTCCCACCAAGATGTTACTTTCCTTGGAGGGGCACACAGGATGTCTCTTTCCCTGGTGCAGCATTGAGCTTCTAGCCTATGCATACTCCTTTGCTTGAAGATTGGCGCATGTTTTATGAAAAGTCGGATTGGCCATTTCTGTGAGTGAATTCTGGTTTTGAATTTGGTTCTTGAGGTAGTTTTCGATCACACTCATGTTTGTTGAGGACAACATGAGCTTGATGAAAGAATGTCCTGCAATTCACATAGAGATGCCTTGGTCATAGTGTCTTGTCCGCAAGATGCAAGGGTGTGTTGTGGGGAAGTTTTGGATGTGTATTTCCCGAGGCTTTACAGCATTGTGGCCGCCCTCTACTTTCACTTTGGCTTGCAAGATTTGTTGTACTTGCACTTTGCAGTGGGGGCGTTTGGAAATGACCATATGCGGCACCTGAGTAGTCAGAATCATGTTGTTTTGAATTCTGAGTGAAAGGGAAGCTGTGGCATGTTTCAGATGTGGGCTGCATCATAGTGAAGAGGTGGCATCGGGGTTGAATTGTCTTATGGGCATTTGTGATTATGACAATCCTTAGAGGTCGAAAATGGGACATTGTATCAGATGATGGAAATTCGCATGAACGTGGCTGATCATTTTAAGCGTACCCCAGCCTGTTGGGGGCGCAGCAACCTGTGCTGTGAACCACGCCTTGGACTCCGCGTCGCCTGGCCATGTGAGCGCCGGCGCGTGGGATGGCGACCCCTCCAATCGCCTAGCTATGCCCGCTTCTCTGGCTTACTTCGAAGAGGACAGGCCCATCGTGCTATGCATGATGGTGCGGTTCCTTTAACAGCGGCACATTTTCAACTGGGGCGATCGGTAGCCAACATCTTTGATAGGGACATGGCATGCCAATAGGCATGGTATTGATGGGACTTGTTGCGTCGTTATCCGACGCTCCTTAGAATAAAGCACACGGTGAGTGTCAAGGGTGCCCCTGTCACAAGATGATTGGCAAGGGTCCTCGGCGCCACATCCCGCCGTATCGAACAGCGCCCTGCCACGCCTATCGTCAGGCACAGTCACGCGGTGGCCCATAAACACTCTTCTAAGGCTGTGGCGCACACTGCCGACGTGGCGAATGCCATCTGTTCAATACAATCGGTTGATTCGAGGAGAAGGTTCTGTTCGCATCGTCAGAAAACTGAATGTGCCAAGTCGAACACCGAGCAATGTGTTCGGTGTTCGACTTGGCATATTAGATACTCCGAACACTCTAAACCACCAACGAATTTTTCTATCGCATTAGGCTAACGGCAAGAAATTTATTTGTGGATTGGGGTACAAATCTTTGTTCATGTTGAATCACCAAATCTCACTCGCATGCTGAGAATGCAGCATGTGTAAGCGAGGAAGGGCCTGCGTCACGTGGCGATTAATCAGAGAAAAAAGGCCCAGTAAGGCGTGTGGAAACGCGCTTAGGGACATCCACACGCCTGAAAATTTGTGTCCAGAATGTGTTAAAAACACGTTGAACATGCGCAAACGCGCTATTGGTAAGACACTAAGGGAACTAGGACACGTGTGGCGCAGCTGTTCTTAATAATTTAGTAAGTAATTTAATGAGTAATTTAGTGAGTAAAATCTTTGAAAGAATGAACACCCATTTTATGTACAAGCTTTATGTTTGCGTGCTGCATTTGTAACAAACGTCATGGCCAACAGTAGGCCAAGACGTGTTGCACATACATTGGCCAGTTTTGACAATTGTGACACACAATTGACACTTGAGAGCGAGGTGCTCGCACGTCTTACAAATGCACAACATGTATCTGGAAAAATAAACAATATTCTAAACGTGTACGTTCAAGATAGACGTTCATTTGGGTCTTTTCCCAGAGTGAAACTACCATGAAGCTACCATGCCGGAAGGATATACGAGCGGTCGTGTACCCTCAAACTTGGCGATCCTCAGTGCTGAAATGACAACAACCGTTGTGTCCCTCACGCCTTGTAGTGTCAGCACCTTCTGAGAAACTGAAAGCGTAGCATCAGTTCGATAGAAATGTTGTTTGGCCGAGTTGGCAATTCAATTAAAGACATATTGTATATCAAGGGCAGGGGTAAGATCTACATTTTCCCCGATAAAATATGTGTCCATGTTTTTCTCATTGAAAATAAAAATCGCGTCACCAATGAAATCCAGAGTCCACCTGTTTCTGGTATCAGTGGTTGTCGATAACACATCGAATTCGATGTACTGTGATCATCACAGTGTCATGGCTTCGAACCATTCGTCTTCTTAGGATGCGAGCAGGGATAGAGGCAAAGAGTGACGTGACATTGCTGTGGCGAAATGCATTGGAATGGCTCGGTTCACGCCGTCGCTGCTATGGCAGGGAAAGGGAAGAATACGCATGGTCGTCAGCACCACATTGACAAATGTGAACTCAATCGGCTGAAGAATTCCCAAACTGGTTAGTCGCTGCCGCTCGGCCTCCAGAAATTAAACCCCACATCAAAACCCTAAGAAAGAAGTCGCCAGGAGACTGGCTTCTATGTGTACGGAAATCGTTTAAATTGGGCGTTTGCCTTGATGTTTCTGCTCCATCGCTGCACCCAAGAAATTTGCTGGTGAAAATGCCGGCAATGCAAACTTTTCCGTAGATCCACTGAAAAGAGACAGAGTCGCCTGGTGTAGCCTCCCTGGAATCAAAAGCAGGCCAGAGCCGGCGAAAGCAAGCATGTCGCGTCCACGACCCAGGACTGGCCGAATTCACTGGGGTGGTGAGGTCCGCAGAGACTGCCTCCATTTTTTCAATCCTGCAGCACGGCCGCTTCCGATAATGCCATTTTGGCCTGACGGATCGAGGGCGGGCCCGAAGCGCCGCCGGCTGGGCTTGGCGACGCACAGCGCACTGCACCCCCCAGCGAGCCATGGCCCCCACCAAAGGCAAGCCCGCCGCGGCGGCAGCGCCTAAGGCCGTCGCGCCCGCCGTGCCCGAGAGCATCCTCAAGAAGAGGAAGCGCGAGGAGGCGTGGGCGGCCAAGCGGGCGGCGGATCGCGCGGAGGCGCAGAAGAAGCACAACGAGAATCAGAAGGAGGTCTTCAAGCGGGCGCAGCAGTATGTGAAGGAGTACACGGCGAGGGTGGGTGGCCCACCGGAGACTGGATCTGTCGGTGGTGGCGTGGCGGAGTGGGGATTTGCTTTTTCTCTTCCTGTTTTGTGCATGGACGTTGTGGGGGGTCGCTGGGGTGTGGTGACGGCGGCCTGGCGTATGGTGGACGGGGTTTGCGGTGCCCTCGATGGCAAGATGGCTCAGGGCAGTTTTCTTTTTTGAATGTGCCAAGTTTGGTGCGTTCGGCCCCATTTGGGGATGGTGTGATGGATGCGCGGTTTGAGCCGCCGAGAGGGAGGGGCCCAATGCGAGATGGGATCACTGGGGGGTGAGACGGGAGTCTGGGCGGAGATGCGGCTGGTTCCGCGCTGGGACGCGATGTTTAGATGGCGGAAAAGTGGCGATGGCCGCCAAGGGCTTCTATGGGCGACACGGATGGATGATTGGCTGCGCCCCCGGGCAGAAATTGTGTGTAAATCAGGACAGATCATTTACGACAATGAAGATTGTGCGGACTGTCCTTGCGTGCCCGTTCTCGGCGTCTCATCACAACTTGTGGCCGCCAATGTTGTTTTGTGTTTGAGTGCTTCTATGTGTCTCGATGTTTGCCTTTCTGAAGGATGGTGGTGCTTTTTTTGACGCAGGAGAGGGAACTGATTCGCATGCGCCGCGAGGCCAAAGCCGCCGGGGGTTTCTACGTTGAGCCCGAGGCGAAGCTGGCGTTCGTGATCAGGATCAAGGGTATCAACAAGATACATCCCAAGGTACCTCGAATGAACGTGTGGATTGGGAGGACTTGGGGCCAACTCCTTAAGTCCTTGATGGGCTGTGTTGGAGAGTGCTGTGTCTTCTGGGAGGGGAGAATTTCTATTTGGCACGAAGGAAATATGTCAAGCAATGTGCACTCTCCTCTTGTGCAAGCATGTCTTTGAGACTTGTGCCGGACGCCCACATATTCCAAATGCAACAGCGACATCACACAGCACAGTGCAGTGTAGGGTAGAGTGTGTTGAGGAGGGTGGGCTGAAGAGGCATGAGAGAAAAGAGGTGGTTGGTTATGCATGATCTAAATGTTAGGATATCCCCCCCTATGTGCAATACGGAATGCTCTCCTTGCAAAGGCTATGTGAGAGGAACAATTTTGGATGCTTGGCTTGGACAAGCAGGTGCCAGCAGATGGCCTGATTTGTTATACCTACCCGTGTTGCAGATGAAGAAGATCCTGCAGTTGCTGCGTCTGAGGCAGCTCTACAATGGTGTCTTCATCAGGATCAACAAGGCGACGGTGAACATGCTGAGGCTGGTTGAGCCCTACATAGCGTGGGGTTACCCAAACCTCAAATCAGTCCGCGAACTGATTTACAAGCGTGGCCATGGAAAGGTGTGCAAATGGCCACTGTCTGTGTGTTTTCTGCCGTGGTTTGGCCATGGAATCTTGTGCTGGCGTGTTTGTTGGCCTAGTTGCTGGGTTGACAGCTGGTGTCCTGTGCAGGTGAATGGTCAGAGAATCCCGCTTACCAGCAATGACATCGTTGAGAAGGTGAGCCAGACTCTACCCTCTTGTTGCCCTGGTATGTGTGCAGAAAATCCACCCATTTTCGCCCCCTTTAGAGACAAGATGGATTGCATGAACAAGCGCTGATTGCAGTTGTTAAGGCAGACATGTCAGAGCCTTTTCACTTGTTAGGTGATGTTATTCCTGCAGCACTTGATGTGGTGTTACTTGCCCAGCTGGACGTATGCTTGGATATGGGCATTCTGCCAGTATCAGTCCGTACCCAGGGAACCTCTTCAGGTAGTTTTGCCACAACCCACCACCTATGGACAATGACAATGGCTATTGTGGCCAATGCTGAATTTTCAACCAGCATGTGCTGCTGCCCCCTAACAGGTCCTTGGCGAGAAGCACAACATCATCTGTGTTGAAGATCTGATCCATGAGATCTACAATGTGGGCCCCTCCTTCAAGCAGGCCAACAACTTCCTGTGGCCGTTCAAACTGCAGTGCCCACGGAAGGGCATTTCCCACAAGAGGAGGCATTTTGTGCAGAACGGCCAGTTTGGAAACCGTGAGGACCTTATCAACGACTTGATCAGGAGGATGAACTGAAAAGAGCCGAACAAGTCGCTGTGGTTGATGGCATCATGGACGCACTGAGCACAGTCGTGCAGTGCACTGGGCCGATGTGGTCAGGACGATGACATGAACAGATGCGCACATGGTGTAATGGGAGATTGGCAGGTTTGCGTGTGCCTGAATGAGGCGAATGCGTAGCTTCCAGAGATCTGTATATTCTTTGTGTGAAAATGGCAGAGGGAAGCCCAGATTTATAGTTCCTCTGCATGTGCAGACCACCATTGTGGGCGCTGCCACCCTGGAGGATGTTTCAAGCACTGAGCTCCAGCTGTCGTTGCTGGCTTCCACATCCAACTCTCTCATTCTTGTGCCAGAAATTCTGAGGAAAGCTGCCAGCAGTGCTGCCCCACGGCCAATACTGCTACACCAAAAGGCGTCCATCTGGGGCACACAATTCTTTTGGTGCGCTTCATATTTTACATATCAGCATCAGTAACATATTGTTTTTCACAGAACACTTGGCCCTTGCCTTAGCTACTGTTACATTGTCGCGTCGAGCCACACCAGGTAAATGGGATTCCTGTTCTCAAGTTTCGTCCGCTTTTAGAGCGCTCAGTGTACAACGCTGACTGACATATTCCAAGCAAGAGTGCTCCCAGTTCAACACGAACAACGAGTCAAATATCGAATACAAGGTCATTCTTGAAAAATTCAGGGGCAAAAACCTTGCAGCCACCTTTCGAGCGACCAAATATGGTCATTTAGAAAAGTATACGGTCACTCAGTTTCGCGGTTGTCCAAAAAGAGGCACTTGTGACAGTAATCGACAGGTCACACGATGCGCCTCGACCATCGTTTCTGTCCCGCAGTGTTTCTATCACCCTGGCCACACTGTGGCTTCAGGAGTACCGCCACCATGATTAGTTCGAGTGGCGTCGCTGTCTCAATCCTTCCAGCGCGATGTGTTTCAGGCAAGGGGCCCCTCTCCTAGACCTGGTTTTCGGTTGGCTTCCTCGACCTGAAAGGCACTGTTTCAAAGTATGGCCATTTTTATTTTTGGTCATTTTTTTATTTTTAGCAACGCTCGTCCGTTGCCTACGGTTTTCAACAGCGCTGAATGAACTCGTGACGACAGAAACCTGACAGCTACCTCTTTGGCTCGCTCTGCAAATGTCCGTGCCGATTGTGAATAAACTCGTGAGGTGTCTCCCGGCCAAATTCTCTGGCAAAAGTGATGTTTCATTAACGCAACCTCGGCCCCTAAAACGAAGGTGGCTATTCCACCGCGGACGGAGGAAGTAATTACTTCCACAGAATTTTGCACAGGATTTTCCAAAACGCTTTCCCTACTGATTGTGTCGATTGGTTGATGGACTGATTGATTGTGTCGATTGGTTGATGGACTGATTGCTTGAATGCAGACTTCCCAGTGCCACGCGCAGCGCCTGAGCCGCCGCCGCTCCACGCGACGACCCTCGACCGAGCGGCGACGCGCCGCAGCGGCCCGGCAGCTCGAGTGCTGCCCCGGGCGCCATGGTGCTCATCAGCGTCCTGCACGACGCTCTCAAAAACATGTACAACGCCGAGAAGCGCGGCAAGCGGCAGGTCCTGATCCGGCCGGCCTCCAAGGTGATCGTCAAGTTCCTGCAGCTGATGCAGAAGAACGGCTACATCGGCGAGTTCGAGGCGGTGGACGACAAGCGCGCGGGCAAGATCGTGGTGGAGCTCAACGGCCGGCTGAACAAGTGCGGGGTGATTTCACCGCGCTACGACGTGAGCCACCACGACATGGAGGAGTGGGTGGCGCGGCTGCTGCCCAGCCGGCAGTTTGGCCACGTTGTGCTGACGACATCCAGCGGGATCATGGACCACAACGACGCGCGGAGGAAGAAGGTGGGAGGCAAGGTGTTGGGGTTCTTCTATTAGAGCGGCGGGGGGGGGAGGGATGTGGAGGAGGAATGGGCCGTGAATTCCTTGGCACTGAATTTGGGTTCACGAGACGAGAGCGCCGCCCCTGCGCCTGGTGTCTGGGGATCTTTGGGGCGAATGTGATTGGGGCGCTGGATTTGAGTGGACTGCTGACGTGACCGTGTTTCTGGGAATCTGGATGTGAGCTGTGGTTGGGGATGCTGCGCTGCCTGGTGGACGATTTCGATGGCGTGAAGATTGGGGAATGGAGACTTGTCGATGGTCGAGGGGCTGAAAGTGCTGTTGGCCTGAGGGCAGCTGTGGCAATCATGCAATGCCATCATGGTGGTTCTGATTCTCAAGAAAGATGCCAAGAACGCTGGGTGAACGCCTGGCACCCTGGGCGCATCTAGATGCTGCAGTTGATGAGTCCCACGAGCTTCTGGAATGCCAGTCGTGAGCCATGTGTTTGTGGTGGGTTTGTGGTAGTATGCACTATCGGGCCTGGGGTCCAGGATCGCTCCCAGGCAACCAGGCAGTTTGGATCATGATTGGGCTGGATGCTTTGGAGGCTGAATCCTCTGAATCTTGCTGAATCGAAATGGAAGTTCAAAAGGTTAATGGACGCCGGATAGGGCCAAGTTGGTACACACCCACCTTGCCGCTATCTACACAGCACCTGACAGCTGTGATCCTTTTGGACAGTACCAAGATCCAACAGCAGTGGGGACACAGTGGTGTGTACACTGGCGTTTAGTGGACTTGAGGGCCTACCACTGAAATTCCCTGTCAAGCACATTGTCTGTTCCTCCCTGGGCCCTCGATCAAGCCATTGAAACATAGCATTTTTTCCTGTTGCCCTCTTCTTGGGCCAGCTGGGCATGGCAACCCCTCAGGCAACTGCGCCACTGGTCAGGAGTTTCTCAATACAGAGCACAGATAATTGGCCCATGACATGGATTTCGTGGATGCGAATGTCGATGAAGGCGCATTGAGGTTCACCAGTGAAACTGCACTGCCTCTCCTCCCCTGGATGGGAAACGTGCTTTTCGTCAGGCCCAAGGAACAGTCAACAAGTCGCTGACACACAACACTGCAGCATTGCTGGCTGACTATCTTGGGTAGTTGTTAGTGGAAATAGATTGTACCACAAATTCCCAGCAGCTTGGCAGGGGTCCTGGAAACCAATGTCGGTGAATGTATGCAGGCCATTGCGTCCTCCACCCCAAAATAACTTCTGGCTATGAACTGTGGCTTCAGCAACCGTCTCAAAGTTCCAAATAACGCAATATTGCGTTATTTAAAAACAATGATGTTCTATATTGGAACTTGTTCGCACAAGTCCAATTTGTGCTGTCGAAATGTGGAAGCAACATGCTGAGCGCTGAGGGCACCGTGCCATGTGAATAGTTGCGATCCAGCCAGAATGCCTGGAAAGCCTCAGGGAGGCCTGGAACAGACAAATATAGGGAATGGCGAAATCCCAGCCAATTGCCATGTTGCTGTGCGTCTTGGCAGGCTTCCTAACTTTCTGATTGCATACTACCTAATTTTGGTTTTGTCCTTTTGTTCCTGTTGACATGGTGACCGGGGTTGGTACCGCTGGCCGACCCCACACGTGGGTCGCGGCGCCACTTGGTAATGGGGCACCGTCCTTTCTAGAGCCCTGCTGCATGGACGTTTCTGCCGTTCTGGAAAAAGATAAATTGCTTCCTTGAATCTGCACAACGCTGTGCCACCCCGCATCGCGGTCCCATTGCCACTAGCGACAAAGCCGGCTTCGTAACTCCACTGAACCCAACACGTGCACAAGACGAGGGAATGTAGAATTTAGATTTTAAAAATTTTCAATTTATTTCAGGCACAGGCTGAAAATATTCTTGCCCAAAGCCCGCGAAACGCCTGGCAGGTCTTTCCCATGCGCCCTTACCAAAGGCGAGGGAAATCAGGGAGATCCGAATGGTTGTCCTGTGCTTCATTGTGCGGAGCGAAAGCCCCTCACATTCCAATTGCCTCCAAAGATAGGGGCCAAAGAAAGTGCACACCCCGAAAACATATCCACGCCTCGCTAATCTGCCCTTGCCATTACAGTGCCCAGGCGGCCTGGCAGGCAGCCCAGAGCCAATGTGTGGCGTCGACGAGAGGGGCGTCTCCTCATCCCAGATGCCCATCAAATATTGTGTTCGAGGAACACTGAATCATTTTTAGTCCGAGAGCTTCCAGCTTTGGAACCACGGACGCATGACACGCAAAGGCAGTGCAGCCGCCCGAGTTCGGCATGGACAACCCCTGCAAGAACAATCAGGAAATCTCTCACGCACGTATTCAGCATCAGCTCCTTTGCGGTAGGCCTGTGTTGGTGCGCTGTCAGTGCATTGCATTCCCAGTCGACATCCCGAGGCGCGGTCTGAACATTGCAAGTGTTGCCCTTCACCGGCGCGCACGTCGACTAACAGGCACCAGCCGACATTACAATGTCTGAACTTGCGGTCGCCGGCACTTGCCGCCCAAAGCGTCCACTTGCCCACCTGAAATGCGCACGTGGTACGGACTGCTCCATCGCGACAAATGTGCCCTTCCAATGCGCAGAAGTTTGCCACCACCGTCGCCCGTACAGCGCCGTCGTTGGCAGCGAGCGGTTGCCTCCCGTCTTGACGGAGCTGTGCTGTCTGTTGACCACCTGCAGTGATGGCTCGGCTTGCAGCTGGGTACCCGCTCATAGCCGGTAAACCTCGCAGTGGTGCAACGCTTTCTCCCTCACTGTACACGCCCGTTCCAGGAGCCGCGGCCTCCACACTTGACTTGGCCTGAGGTGGAGGCTGTCATCTTGCAGGGCTCATTTCCTTGCTGACCCTCGCGGCCACCGCTTCGTGGCATGGCCATACCGGCAGCCTGGCTGCCCATAGGCGCCACGACGCAACGTAGCTGTGCCGACCGCCACACTTACCTGTCCGTCAGTTGCCCTTCTTGTGACTTTTGCATGCGCCACAGCGACTGCGGCTTGCACTGCATTGAGTAAGTAGCACTTAGGCTCCTTCCAAGGCGCCATACTTGCGATATGTCTGTGGCATGTACCACAATTGTGGTCTTCCATTGCAATGGAAGACGTGGGAATAAACTCGACAAGAAACACAGAAAACAACAACATTGTAAATGCAAGAGATTGAATGGTTCAATCATCTCATCAAAGGGATCATTGAATTACAATTCCGATAAATACCTTTGGAAATGCACGAACAGACACCGCAGTGAAATGTAACTTGCGGATTCCCTATATTGCTGAAGTGCCTGAACACATTTGCAACAATGAATCATCCACCAAATCAATTAAGCAACTCTTTGATTGCCTAAGGCCCAGCATGATGAGCCTGAACTCCCTGCACAACCACTGGCAGCCCTCGTGGTTGCACAGAAACATTGGCGATTCTTCTACGCAGCTGCTCTCGAACAGCCTGCAGAAGACCGGCGCGGGCGACACGTTGTGCTATGCGCCAGGCCAGACTGCAACAGCGCGTTCTGCACGGGCTCAGTGACTGTCGCCCTAGGTGCCCTGCCAACCACAAAGGGCAGCCAACCACGCAAACGCGCTCAGCGCACAATCCACGCCGCACGGCGCGAGCTTTGAAACTCGAACGGCAGAGTCACAAATTCGGCGGCCTTCGATGTCGGAAAAAACGGCTGAGCGTCAACGGCCAAAAGCGACGTCGCATTTTTGTATCCACCGATGGCGAGGGCAAGCCGCGGCCCCAAAGCTCGCACCTTCGGGCCGTGGTGCGTCCCTCGTTGGGGCTGAGCCATGTTCGCGTCTGGACGGCATCTCGCGGCTGTGCTCGTCTTCGACTCAAAGTGAATATTTACTGGGAGGGAAGCTTCGACATGTGGAGAGAGGCCCGGCTTGGGCGGTACTTGTACCCGAAAGCGCAGGTCCAGCTGATGAGCGGTCAGCCGAATCGGCCATACGTGGCAGTCCGGGTCAACTGTGCCACCGAATCGAAGCCCCTTAAGAACGCGCCTGGGAGCAAAGCAGCGGGCTGGGCACGGGCACAGGCGTGCGCCGGGCACGCCCCTATGTTGCGGTCAAGGCAGGTACACGTGCCGCTTGGCGAGTGCCTTCTGTCCAATGGTGTCCGGTATGTTGTTCACCCTTGGAAGAACTAAAGAAAAAAGCCCACTCCAGTACTCAGCATAGAACAACTGAAGAGGCTGGGAATCTTGCAGCTAGGCAGCAAAGGAGTTGAGAGGGAGAACATGAACAAATCGAGGCAACAAGGAATTCGACCAAGGCAATATCAGACAGGACTTGAGAATAAGCAGAGATTTGTGAAGCGATAAATCGAGCAAGCGCAGGAGGCAAGCAGCAAAAGAGCGCGAAAGTTTACAATACACATAATACAAGTAAAGAGCCCGCCGCTGCTACTGCGGCCGCGGGCCTTTGGGGGCAACCCGACGTTTCCAGTCACGCTGCCACCAGCGGGGCGGACAACACAGCGTCTAGGTTCCGCCCCAAAGTAAGGAAACTGTGGACTTGCCACGTGTCTCCCGAAAGGAGGGTGGAAGGGTAGCAAGGCGGGCAAATCTCATAAATTGGTCACGCAAGGGTAGCGATGAGACATAGCGATGTCAGGTACGCATGTGGCGGGTGGAGTTGGGGGCGCCACCGGCTGTGGCAGCTCCCAAAGCTACAAAATGCATTTTGCCTTCATTGCGCGGGTCTCTAGGGCCATGTCAATTGGTTAAATTGCGTCTGTAAACGCACCAATGAAGTGTAAGTATGGCTTAGATCAACTGAGCAATGTGCCAAATGGTTGGATTCGAATTGATTGTATCAAATGCGTGCGAACGAGCATGAATTGAGTGGTTTGTTGGCCAATCGACTGCAACCGAATCACATTGAAGGGAATTAACTGCGGAGCTAAACGATTTCAGTAGACTAGCTTGGAAGGAGATTGGGAGTTGGGCAGGCTGAACGCTCTGCTGGGTGACTTTGCACAGCCAAATTGGCAGGTGATAGAGGCAAA